TATAAATAAAAAAGGTAATAATACAATCCTTTCCTCTGAACTACAAAAACGTATTTTCAACTGTCAAACTACCTACCCTTCCCCTTTAAATAATTTTTGCAGGTGTTTTTCCAAAATGGCGGCTCAGGATGATACTTGTTGCTGGAGATAAAACTAAGTTTTCCTTGTCACGGACTACTGCCATTTCATGTCCGTATGTAGTACAGCGAAATAAGCAACAATGGCTCCTCATGTCGTTCGTGCAGACAAAATTATCTTAGTGACGAGGTAAATTTTTCCATTTGACGCTGCGACAAAATGTGTGCAAACTATGCGAAGTTTAGTCAAGCGGTTTTTTTTTACGTGAGCGTTAAATCTGCTACAGAGAATAACTGTATGTATAATATAATGGCTGGAGATCTTAGCAAGCTCTGCTGAGCTTTTCTAGGAAGATTTCCATTCGTTAATGAACTAAGTTAACTATAGCTAACTCAATTATATTAGGCTTGTTGTCCTAAACTAATTAGGAAAACTTAAACTAACTAGGAATACTTATTATTTTGCGCATAAACGTTCGTAGAAAAAGGAAAAAGGGAGAAAAAAGAGACCAGGAAAGTCCATATTTGTAGAATCTTCCTTCAAACTTCCAAACTTCAGATGAGTACTCTCATCATGAATAAAGTGTGTGGGGAAAAAATATTAGAAGAAAAATGGCAGTTATCATTTTCAAAGAGAAACCTTAGTCAACACTCTGTTTGTAAATTCTATGTAAGCTTATAAGCTTGCAAGCTGACATATAAAAGGTAAAGTTTACATACGAGTCAAGAGGCAAATGTGCAGTTCCAGAAAATATCCATCTGTATGCTCCCTCCATAAAAGGGATTGGCATCTCCTGGGTGAGGAGGGGTTCTGTGAGACCACAAGATGTAAAGAAATGTATGAGGCTTAATTGGAATTTCCAGAGGGGTTGGGATCCCTTCTGTGGGGGGCATTGATATTTTCTGGAACTACAAAATTAGGCCAGCGCTTCTCTCTGGTTTCTGACCTGAAGTGACCTGGAGTATTTCTATTCCTTTTTGCAAGGGATGCTAGTCCCTTGCAGGTTAATCCACATCACCTCCACAAGCTGACATATAACCCAGGCAAAATTAGTGTTTTCCATTGATTTTGATTACATGACTACATTTAGTTCTTTATTACAAAAGTGAATGTTTGAAACAAAGAATGTTATTTAAATTTGTTAAATAATGCCTGGACAAAAGGTCTGATGTCTGTATGAACCAAACATACAAGTGCAACTTTAATAGCATGTGCTGTATATTGTGCTTTGTAACACCACTTCACTGGGTTTGGCTGTGAATATAATGTCAAGTTGATAATAAATTATACTGTAAGTGTTTCACTTGCCCTCTGAAATAACACCACACGGAACTTTCCTTCTTTAGAGATTAATTTGTTTTTTTCCTTCATTTAAAGAGATGGCTTCTTCTATAGATGTCAATAAGGGGGAGATTAAAAAGAGTGCAAAGTATAAGTGGCAACTTGGTCATTGTTTAGGGAAGGGAACATGCAGTGTGGTTGTTGAAGCTGTAGGCACATTCTACTCCAGAAGCATATGCAGACATTCTCCTCCACGAGTTCTGAAAGGCGCTGTCAAGATTTTCAAACAAGGACATCAATTTGAGCAAGCTGCAACTAATGAAATAGAAATTCTAGAGTATTTGAATCGTCAACAGGAATCTCCCTATAAACACTATATAGGTGAGTTACAAGTATGGTATGAACTCAAGTTAATAATAAAACCCCAAGTTCTGAAAGGGAGGTATTTATTGGACAGGTGTGGACAAATTTCTCTGTTCACACAACCAATTTCCTCAGTCCCCAGAAATTCCTTACTGATTATGCTCTACTATGGAGAGATACATGTGGTACTCTTATGGGTTGTTGTTGGGCTTAGACTTCTTCTGGTAGAAATGAGAGAAAAAACTTATGTGATGCATGACACTTATGATGAAAATGACAAGAAGGCTGAAAATGCTCCATCAAGTGTCAAATAGTGTGGGTACAAGAGTCATTTTGGGCTTTGCCCTAATTGAAGAGCCTTTTCAGTTGTCATTTCTTTTTGTTTTTTCTATAATATGAATCCATCAAAGACACTACGTGGTGGGGCTGTACTGTTAAAGGAGAAACACCCACAAGTGTGCAAGTGCTAAGATCGCAGTTGCTCTTTTTTCTTTCTGTGAAATAAAGAGAATTGAGTGTGACATCATTGCTGCTACATTTACAATTGGCATTTGGTCCATAAAAAAAAATACTTTTTATACTTTGAGTTAACAACTACAGAGTAAACAAAAATCTTAGTGTGGGCTTGCTACTCTACCAACTTTCACAAGATTCAACCCAAGTATTTTTTTCAACAATTATGTGTTAAAATTATCAATAATACTATGTCTTTCCTTCTGTAGTGCCCTTGCAGGATTACTTCTTATGTAAAGACCAACTGCATTTGGTTTATGGGAAGCTGGATTGCAATCTTCATCATATCTTATTAAAGAACTCAGGGAAAGGTCTTCCTTTGTCTATCATTAAGCGATGCTCTTGGGATATTGTGAGAGCTCTGAGTTTTTTGGCCACCAACAGGGTTGTTCATGGGGACCTCAAGATGTCCAACATAATGTGGAATTCAAATAGAGGCATGTTTCAACTTGTGGATTTTGGCCTCAGTTTTTTGGAGGAAAAACAAGTAAGCTGTTCAAGCAGAAAGTTTACTTTTACATGTGGGTGCTATTGAATGCAGATGTCTGTTAAAGTGGCTTTTCTTCAGGCAGTTTCACGAGCCTTTGGTTTAGGTGAGGGATTAAAAAAAGGCAGTGAATACATGATGGTATAATGATCATGTGGCATATTACACCTCAAGGTATTCCCTCAAGGTACACTCTTTCCATGCAATGATTTTCATAAAGTTCAAATCTTTTTTTGTGGCAGTGAATTTTAAAACTGAAAAATTGCCATCAGGTGACCACTTTTAAAATATGTGATGGAAATCAATGGGGTGTGAAACAGCATACAAAAAACACCATAACAGGCATCTGAGATCAATAAAAAATATTAACATGGTGGCCTTTTGATTGCATGTAGGTTGTTGAATGCTGGCTGAGCAGATATTTAGCATTAAATTTGTTAAGGCTCCACCCTCGCAGTGCCTCTATCCATCCAGTGGTGTAAATACTCTACGTACATGTATATAAATGCATTATTACCTCAATTCAAATTTATAGAGTAGCATCTGTAGTATTGCTGCTACTATAGATCTGCAAATGATAGAGAAATGAAAACAAAAAGAAGATGGGTAGAAGCAAATTGTTGAGACAGATTGACAAACTGCCACCGGGTATTGAGCCTCCAGTGGAATACATTGTCGGTAGTAGCCCATAATTCAGAGTCTTAAAGCAATTCTGAAATTCAAAGTTGAACTTCTGTCAATCAGTGCAAAGTTTCACCAATGTAAGAAAAATATGATCAGTGTCTTATTGTGCAAAGGACTGTCAATCAATTTTTAATTTGCATTTTATTCCTCAGCCTCATCAGCCACTTCAGAGTCCTGGTTACCAATCCCCAGAAGCACAAGCATGGAACAGATTAGTTGCTGAAGGTATCACTCACAGAAAGAGCTCAGTGAGTGATATTTAGGGTTTATCATGCTTCTTTCAATCTTTTGGTAGTTGAATAAACTTAGTGCCAAAATTCAGGGCATATGGTGTTTACTCAGAATATTTTGAGCACAGAGCTCAATCTTCACTGGCCTGATGGAATGGCAGTTAGTGGTGCTCACATGACTACATCATCTTCAGGTCAGGGTATCTGATCATGTGAGAACAGTCTGGCATTATACACTGACATATCATAGCTTCAACTCTTCATCCATGACAGTTCAATAATGGGCTCTAGTCTTATTTCCCTGTTGTTGGCATGAAACTGAACTTCACTGGTGCCGTGAGAGTTAAGTTTCTATCCAGGTCTCAGCGCTGACCAGTCAATCTGGAGTCCAGTGCCCTATCTATTGGGCCATCATACACCTGTTTCTCCCAAGTATGTGCACTTGAATATCCAGATTTCTGACTTCATTCTTGCAGAGATGCTCTTTTGCCAGTGACATGTGGAGTTTTTCTTATGTACTGTGGTACATGTACACAGGAATGCCAGCACCCAGATGTCTAACAGATGAGCCAACATGTGTCATGTGTTTGCAGGAAGAGGTAATGAATATTTTCTCAATGGCCAGTTCCTTCTATGAGACACTCTTGCAGGGAATCAGGGTAGTTGTGTTCACCAAAACAATATACAGTCGAAGATTTTGAACACAACTACCATGATTTCCTGCAGGCATTTCTCATAGAGGGAATTGGCCATTTGATGATGATTATTATCATGTGCAATATTCTACATCCACCATTAAGTGAAATATTCTCAAAAGTCATGAGGGTCAATGTATTTCTAAAGACAGTGCTTGCTTCTTACAACATATTTTGGACAACAGACAGATTCTTATTTATTCATATATAATTACTCATATGTTGGAGTTGCCATGACACCTGTTCATAACTAGTGTACATTTACCCACTCCCCTCAACAAAAATAAATCAGGGAGAGGAGAGTCACTCTCCCCAATACTGTCGCAAGGAGTTGGTAGATATACACAGATATGTGCATGTTATCATCGGAGATTAAACTACAGCACATCCAGGCTATTCAAATCTACAGCCTTTTGACGCATGTCTCTTCCTTGATTATTTTTTTTTTTTACACAGAATTATACATGCTGTGGTATGAAGAATGGAGCAACAAACATTTGCCGTTGTTTCAAGGTGTTAATTTTGTGTCATTGTTATAACTGAAAAACTTGTTTGTTGCTAAGCTTTGCAGCAAGTCATAATTATGCAGCCATGCTGATGACTTCATTTTAGATGCACTTCTCATCGATGCCATAGTTGATGGAGCATTGCCAAATCGGTTGACATGCTGACTAGCTGCTATTACTACTGACGTGTATATCCGGTTAATAGTATAAAGTGAAATTGAATGTGAGAATAATATGATGGAATAATTATTACACTGCTAGTTGATACCTTTTCTGTTTGGGTAATTGTAAACACCATAATTTGGTTATGTCTTCTAACATTAACTGGCTAGTTGTTTCAAATGTTTGTCATACAGGATGCTAACTGCTTGCATTTCAAGCAGATCAAGCAGGAATTGCCTGATGATGATAGAGAGATCACACCTGAACAACATGAGTTATTTCTTGACTTCATCATGAGGTAACTTCAATCAACTGTAAACTGTTATGATGTGGGCTTTTTGCATTAAGTTGTACATACATGTATGTAATTGACTTTGTTTTAGCCCCATATATGGTGTATATATCGAGAATTACCCCAGAAAGCAGATGCATGTCTCCCTTTCATGGCCTTGCACTGTGTTGCCTGTGAGAGAAGTCTGACCAACAAACCAGGATATTCTGTCTTTGTAATGAATTAATTAATGGCAACTGTTCAGATCAGCAGCACATATTCTGTGAAAAGTTACCATTTTTACCACTGTAAACAGTTGTAGTTTTTGTATAGTAATAAAAATAGTCCTATTGAAGGGGGGGGGGGGGGGGGGGGGGAGAGTTAAATCAAATTACTGTAGTCTGCATGATGTCATGTACTGGGATGTGATTACAATGACATTGGGATAAATCCATGTACCAACTTGATCCCCATCTTAAAGTTTATTGTCGTTGTTTTTCANGGGGGGGACGCAAATTTAAATTTTAAGTTTAGTGTAAGTTTAGGGAAGATAATGTTTAAATTGCTGTATTTTATTTTTATGGTGTTCTAGTAGTAAACTGCTATTTTCGTCTTGACACTCAAATAAAGTTATTGTAATATTATTATCTAACCTAGATCTGGTGTGTATAATGTTGTGTTTAAAAGGACCATCTTTTCTGTTGAGATCTTGTCTAAGGTGGCTGCATTGGGACCACCATGACAATGATTGTGTTAGTAGGACCCTGAGAGATGTGATGGCAGTGTAAGAGCTTATGAGTCACATAGTATCTTGTTGGTCTTGCCAAGATACAGATCAGGTGTTGAGCTTTGTGGCTACTACTCCAACAAGCAAAACAAAAACCAGACAGTGACAGTAATGACAATATGATGATTCATTGTATTAACTCTTTGGGACTGTTGTAACCTACCCACAGGAAAAATATTTATTTGAAAGTGATTATAATTTATTCTGTCTTTCCAGAATGATGAAGTGCCGACCAGAGCAGAGGATAACACCATTTAATGCCATGCAACATGCATTCTTGAACAGTAAGAATAACCTTCTTATTGTCAAGCTCTAAGCATCAATTTCCATACTGATTGCTAATGTTGGCACGTTACTCAGGTGATGGTTTTCTGTATTGTCAATGCCTGTCTATTTGCATTTGAAAAGACTCCCCGTATTAGCCTCAGTTGCAAGCTATTTCCAGTCCAATACCGAGAATACGAAATGATCTATTATATGACAAGAAGAATGGTCGCTTATTGTCTTGACATGCAGTAGAGAGGAGATTAAAACTGATCACTCAGACACCTTTTGGTGATGGCTGACTGTGTATAAACGGGTTACTAATGCTTGAAAAATTTGTTTCCTTTGTCTTACATTTCTAGGTTCCCCCTGGTGCACTCCTCATAGTTTAGAAGAGTTTTTACTGCTTCCAACCAGAATCCTTCAGCTAACTAACATCCATCTGGATGACCTCTCCTCAGACTCAAGCTTTGGTATTTACATTTTCTTTTTTTTGCTCACTTTTCATTTTATTTAGTTTTTATCTCATTTATCTCATTAGATATTAAATTTATTCCATGGTGCAGTTATCTGTAGAAGTTATAACAGCCTTACAAGCAAGTGGAGTTGTGGTGGCCTAATGGTTAGCGAGCTGGACTCTGGATCAAGTGGTACTGGTTCAAGTCCTGGTCAAGGTCATTGTGTTGTGTTCTTAGGCAAGACACTCTACTCTCACAGTGCCTCTCTCCATCTGGGTGTATAAATGAGTATCTGTGAATTTAGTGCTGGGGGTACCCCTACAATGGACTAGCATTCCATCCAAGGGGGAGTAAAAATATTCCTAGTCACTTCATGCTACAGAAGTTAGTATAGGGTCGGCTAAACAGGCCACTTGGTTTGACGCAGACTTTGCCTTAAAAGTAAATTTACAAACGAATTTGATGTGGAATATTTCATTAGCTCTTTTTTTTTCTCTGTGCAGATGGGTTGATGGATGTACAGGAGGAGTGTGCTAAGTTTGGGGTTGTCAGAGGTTTCAAGTATGATGGTGATTCAACTGTAGGATATAAGGTAAATTGGCAAGTTGTTCATGGCAGCAGCACTTTAAGCCGGGACATGTGGTCTGCTAATGTTTCTCCCAGTTTCCATAACATGAGGCGGCTAGGAGTATTAATAGTCCCGATAAATGAAATGAAGGTCCAACACATGTTGACCGTGACCAGCATTTGGTCAGGCTTCCTTAACTATAACTCATTTGTACTTCAGGGTGGAGAGAGAGATAGAGGCAGTGTTATCGTAAAGTGTCTCTCCCACGTGAGAACACCCTTGGTTTGTAGAGTGTTTTTTGGCACGATTTCAAAGTAAATGATGATTTAGGTTCCTTGTCATCAACATTTCTTGGAAAGGGTTGGCAAGGAAACGAATGTGAGCCAGTTTGCTGAATTTCTTAGTGGCGCAGAATTGTAAACATCGTAGCGGTTTCATTGCTTGGGTTCGCAGTTATGCACACGACTTGTATTCATAATATGTACGGCCTGTGTTATGAGTTTCTTATTGCACTTCTCTGGTTTTTCAGGTATATGTTGAATTCTCTGACGCTGACGATTGCTCGCGGGCCCACAGTTCACTAACTGGGCGTGAATATAATGGCAGGACAGTCATTACCAGCTTTTATCCCATTGATTATTACTATACAGACTACTTCTGGCACTGATATCCGTTACGAGGGATGAACTGAACACTTTCAACTGTGATTTCTTCAAGGGACGCTATGTCATACACAGTATGTTGTGATTTTACCTGGCTTACCTGTAAAATAAAGAGTACTGTTCAGATAAAACTTGCTATCTCCCTTTAGTTATATTTTATAAATCGATAAAAAACTGCCAAGCAGCTGAAAAAGGTAGCATTTCCAAAATGGTGCTTTTTATTGGCATAAATAATTTATACGCCCCTAACCTCAAGGGGGTTATTTTACCCCCTTTCAGCTCTCTGGGAAATATATTATCCCGGCCTTTTTTTCCTCACAGATCTATCCACTTTCCCCTCTCTTAGCTATATTTTAAAACAGCCTTGGTGCCTCCCGTGGTGGTGTATTCCCCTTTTCCTTCTGCTGGGAGATTAATTCTCCCTCTATCTGCCACACCACATCGTACAGGGTTTCTTTCAGGTGCTTACGCAGACGCTATTTGGGCTCGTCACGCAATCTTCCGAAGAGCGTTAGCTTCTTCCAGGCGTTCAGTAATGCATCAGTCAATTCCAGCAGTGCCCATCCCCCCCCGGGCAACAGCGGGGCATTTGCTCAAGTTGTCAGTCCCGGGGGTGGAGCATCCGCAATTTTATCGTGGCCCGGGGGCTGGGCATTTGCGTACCCCGGGGCGACCCCCGGGCATTCAACACACGTGTTTTGGAAAGTGCCATGGATGAGTTCATCGGGAAAGACGAGGCGTTTGTCGAACAATGGCTTGTCCGTCAGGGACTAGAGAAACTTGTTTTTGAAGTTATGTTTTCTCAATTTTAGATATTTCTTCATTACTTGTAAGCATATAAATATAAGCGACAAGGTGAACTATATTTTGTTTATCACAAAACAATAANCCCCCCCCCCCCCCCCAGGGCAACCACAGAGCATTTGCTCACGTTGTCAGTCCCGGGCATGGGTCATCTGCAATTTTATCACGGCCCGGGGGCTACGCATTGGCATACCCCGGGGCGACCCCACGTGTTTTGGAAAGTGCCATGGATGAGTTCATCGGGAAAGACAAGGCGTTTGTTGAACAATGGCTTGTCTGTCAGGGACTAGAGAAACTTGCAGATGCTTTTAAAGGTATGTTTTCTCAATTTTAGATATTTCTTCATTACTTGTAAGCATATAAATATAAGCGACAAGGTGAACTATATTTTGTTTATCACAAAACAATCACTGACGTGAACACGACTATTTCACATTTTGCATTCAAAACTAGCCTAGCATTTTTTAAATTCATGAAAGTGGAGTTAAAATACTTAAGGTTTGTGAATTCAAATGATGCAATCTTCAACACAGATCTTGCGAGCTTAAAATGCAATGCATCATCATTTAAAATGTCTTGATTCTTCACAGAAAAAAGTAGCCTGCGAATACAGGCGCTATCATTGCTCACGGCTGGGGGCACGTCTGCTGCAATCCCAGCTATCCTCTAACAAACTATTAAAAACAAATAATTATAAAGAAATAAATATAATCAGAATCAACTAACACGTACTGTTGTCCTTGAAGTCTTACCGTTGCATTAAAATACTGCACAGTTGACCATTTTATTTACTGATTAATTAAAAACTGCAGAGGTGTTGGAATGAGATGATCCTGGGGGCAGGGCATTTGCCCTCTTCCTTTGTCCCCACCCCGGGGCATTTGGACAGCTTATGTGCCCCACCCTGGGGAATTCGCCAATTTTAAAAAAAAAAAAATGCTAATGCCCGGGGG